TGAGTGGGTTTAGTTTTATGCCGCTTTTAACAATATTCCAGCATTATCACGACGAGGGACATCAGAAATTGGCTTCACACATTGTGTCCAAGTGGACAATCGAACATGGGTCTCCAGCCTGCAAAGCGAAGGTTTTTCCATTAGGCTACCCTCCAACAACCTACCTGGAAGAAATACAGTCAAATGGTTCCGTAATATTTTGTCGGATTAACGAGAGCTGACTGTACAGTGTTTTTAAACCATAACACTAAAGTTTCTTTCACCAGCGAATCAAACCATGACGTTCTTCCAGCGAGTGCACTGACCAATGAGAACTCAGATCACCGTCCCCTCTTCACGTTACTTCAACATTTCATACAACGGTTCATAAAACGTTCCCATTGGGCTGGGTTCATTTGACGTCCTACCCGTGACGATTCGGGTTGAATTTGTCCTCATCTGTCATGCTTGTCAATTCTGACGGGATCGCGTTTTCAGTCTCGCTGACACATGTCATCGTATCCCAGTTGAGTAGATAGGTGCTCATCATGACAATCACTGGACTGTCTGATCCAAAGTCAAATATTTACTGACCGCCGTAACATAACTGAAACATTAGTTTCTGAGTATATACTGAATAGCAAAAGAAACGCAATTCAAGAAATCAAAATAATTATTTTAAAGTATCAAATCCAAAAGTATAATTTTCATGAATTCTGAGTTGCGTTTTTATTGCTGGTCAGTATATAATTTTGATAAAAAAAACAACAACCCCTTTATAATTGAAAAGGGGCCCCAGTGAGAAGGAAGATCCTGCACTTGAGGAAATCTAGACTTGCTTCACTGAGTGCCTTAGCATTGCAAAAACGGTTTGACAGAAGGGAAAATAATGCGGTTCAGGGGATGGGAGACAGACAAGAAGGAAAACCTCATTACTGGATATTTTGTAATTGAAGTTTGATAATACCTTTAACTATATCATACTTACATGAATCGAAATGTGTAGATATTGCCTCTCCAAACACTCGTACGTCACACATTTGGAGCATATCGTCTAAATTTAACTTGTTTTTACCGCTGATCCTGACAAAGCGACCCGTGACAGGTCTTGAGCAGGTAACGGTAAGAGTCTCCCCCGGGCGTGACACACTACCGGAGTAGAAGTAGCATAATTTGGGGGGCAGAGTGTTGGTTGGAAGGTTGTTCTTGGTACACGTCAATCGAAAAATCATGAAGTCTCTCATCTGCAATTGAAACCGTGCCATTTTAGGTTTGAGATTACCGATGTTTAGTGAAGATGCGGGTTAGAATTGTCTACCCAACCGCCCCGCAAATCATGAAACCATCAACATGAATTGACTTATAACCATAATGATTCCCATAAACTTTAAACTTTCAGGAAATATTAAACATTGACAAAATTATTGCGTTGATAAGTTGATTTAGCAGTTTACCAATCACGACAGACACCGACATCAATATCCTCTTGTCTGCGTACATTTCTACTGAGGTTCCTGCTGGATCCTGCACTCACCCCTTACAAGCATGACTTGCTAAAGGCCCACGCCAGGTTCATCTTTCAGGTATTAGATTGCTAATATATTACCAGTGAAGAAACATGGGGGAATATTTGTTAGCAACATAAAACACATTTATACGCACGGCAGCAGTCACTTCTAGCTGTGACCTTGACCTTGGTTACTTTGACCTTAGCCTGTAGGTCCACTTGCCACCAGGGGTCGTTGTCTGTAGTTTTAACAGAGAAGCAGCTGCTGCTGCCCCAAGTTGTGTCAGTTTTCCCATCATTTACCGCTTGTGGTGGATGGGTGTGGTAAGAACTTGCATTAGCCGGCTTGTCCAGTGCCAGGTCAGTTTCTTGACAAAATCAAATATGGACAAATATGACATTATCTGAATGGACTGATGGATTCTGTTTCAGCGTCAGGTTCGAAGACTTGGTTTACACATGTCATCGTATCCCAACTGCATCGATAGATGCTTATGATGTTAATCACTGGATTTTTTTGGTCAAGGATCGATTATTTACAGACCGCCGCAATAGTGCTGTGGGGTAAAACAACAACAAAAGAACAAATTACTTGTTTTGAACTGTCTGCTTTTATTAACATTGTGTACAGGCTGAGGTGAATAAATGTATGAATTTTCTTTTTCACAATAGAGCGAGTGAGTGAGTGAGTTGGGTTTTACGCCGCTTTTAGAAATATTCCAGCAATATCACGGCGGTTTTCAATATAGACCCTCCTCGACAAATAGTGTACGTTTTTCACGAAACGAGCATTAGTGACCAAACTACAATAAAGTTGTGGCCATGGAAACACGAAAACTTTGATGAAAATGTCAAAACTATTGATTAAAAGGCATCAACTTAATTTTTCAAGATTCCCCTACTATTTGAAACACTCAAACCTGAGCTAACTTCAACTAAAAGCATGTGGCGACATACATGTTGGTTGTCGGTAATCCAAGGGAAAGGGAGGTTACTCTAATGACAGTTGGGAAAAGGGCGGTTACTCTAATGACAGTATTTGATTCGACAGCCGAGCCGTTGTCATATTTGAGAAAATGGTTTTGTCGATTTTCGAATTTGAATTTCATTTGATGATGACATCAGGGCCCGGTTGTTCAAAGCACCGTTATTTTAACGTACCGTTAAACACTAACGACCCGTTAAATAGCTAACGAAAAGTTAGTTAACAGTACGTTAAAATTTGGTTGCTGGAAGACGTTTTTAACAGGCCGTTAACTAATGGTATGATTAGAGGTTAACAGCCTGTTAAGGACCTAACCATTACCCACAATTCCTTGCATACTGTCCCATGATTCCCTGTCAAAATGGCATCGCAACAAGAAGCACCTGAAATGACCCCAGTAACCTCTGACTGTAAAAAAAGAAAAAGAAGAAAAAATTTCAGTGCTGAAGAAGAGAATGCAATTCAGGCAATGTTTCAAGAAAATGCTGAGATCCTTAATAAAAAATTCAGCAATGAGGTCACTAATAAGGGCAAGGCTGCAATCTGGCAGAAAATAACAGATTGTGTAAACAACAAAGGCGTTTGCTTCCGTACTGTCGATCAAGTCAAGGAAAAATGGGGAAACATGGCCCAAAAAGCAAAAAAGACATTCAGTAATTACAAGATGCAGCAAAGGAAGACGGGGGGAGGGCCGCCACCCCTAGAGATGAGCCAGGCAACGGCAACCATCATAGAGTCCATGAAGGATACAGCCTCTTTCAGCGGCGTTCCTGGAGGGATGGAGACTGAAATAAGCCCATGTGGTAAGAAATAAGAGGCCTAAACATAAGAACATGTTGATGTAATGATGAATTCATTCAATTGACAATATTTTTAGCGAAATAAAGTTTGATTTTCCTGGCATAAAATGTGCAAATTCGATGTTTAGTACCACTATGTGGTCAAATTTAATCTAACCATCGCTTACCATCGATCTAAATTGTGTAAGATATATGCTTAAAACTGTCATAAAACTAATAAGAAACAACTCGCAAACAACTCCTAAGTATTAAACTTACCAATTCATGCTATATTGTGGTAAACTAACAGCTTGTTCCCAATATTTTAACAGTAGCGTCCATGCTAACATGTTTTGAGAGGAAGAGGAAGTGACAATCAGCGCCACCCTTGAAGCTCAGTTATCCATTCAGACTATAATTACTAGCCTGTTTCAGAAAAGTTTACATACTACTAATTACCTATAATTTTCTATCCCACCACATTTGTACTACATGTAATTGAATGAATTAATATTTCATAGTATGCAGATGATAAAAAAAAATGTTAGGCATGATGAAATATCCCGGTTTTCAACGATGTAAGACAAAAACGTAATTTTCATCATTAATGTGGGAGACTGTGATTTCGTAGACTGAAATGTCATTTAAAGTTTTTATTTTACTAACCTTGAGTGATAAATGATGTTTTCATCTATCAAACACAAAATTATCAAGTGTTTTCTCCAAACATAACGTTGATGTCATCGTAAGATCCCATAGGCGTAACTGTTGCCGCTCCCCACATCCGGTGATTTAGTATGGGTTGTCGACGGTGGTGTTTGGAAGAGCCTTATTTATCGCTCCGTAGGGAGTGTTGTGATCCTATTTATAGATTGCCTGTCACTAGTAGACTGATGTTACTGATTTTACTAAACATTACGATTGCTATTATTTAATTTTGGCAGTTGTTTTGCGTCAATAGTGATGTGAATGATCAAAATTAAGATACTGATTTTTTTCAAAAAATATAAACTAACATTCCGGCTTTCCGTTTTGAATAAAATTTCTCAAGACAGAGATTGGGCATCCACTCAATCCATGACACTGCTCCTGTGCAATTTAATAGCACAGATTTATTTGAAAAATAGAAATAAATATATGTCTTGTATTTCATCAAGGTTATGTTTTAATGCATGGAGAATGAAAATACATATGTTACATTATAATTTCAACTATGATAACAAATCCATTATGATTGTGAATGACCATAAATGAAAAAATCAGTAATTTCACAGCTTCAAAGGTAGCAATATATCTAATGACTACTAAGTCATGATAACACACAAAACAAGAATGTATTCACTTGAACTGAATAAATGATTTTATTAAATGTATGAAAGTTGTGAATGAAGACATTATATTAGCATTAAATATACAAATCTATAACAGATAATGTATTTATTCTGTACAACTTCATTTCTTATGAAAGAAAATATAATAATGATATGAAACTGATTAACAATTTTTAATTACTTTTTAAATTCTTGATTCTAAATATAGAAACTAATGATGAAAATAACAAGACATCATGTTGCAGATTCAAAAAATCAGTTACTAAATTGAACGTTATAAGTATTAATTTGTAAACAATGAGTTGTATGACACATTACACTATATTAGTATATTTAAATCTGATGCAATGTAACACTTGTCAATTACAGAAACAGTCAATCTTGAAGATATGGAAGCAATGGAATTAGTATCTTTTCTCACAAATAATCAGCAAACTATTTCAACTGATCCTGAATCTGGCGTCAAACTACCAGCATCACCCATGGATACACCAATTGAATGTTCTAAAATTCCACCATCAAGCAGGCAAGATGAAGTGCAGACAGAGAAGATCCAGGGCAGACTGAGAAAATCCAGGAAGACTAAGCACAGTAATGATGATGTACTCCATATGCAGTACCAGGTCTTAGCAGGAGAGAGAGAGAACCAGAGTCTGAAAAAAGAAAAACTGATATTAGAGAAGCAGAGGTTGAAACTACAGATTGAACTACTTCATCGCCTGTTGGCTCAGAATGATTTGGACATTAACCTTAATCCAACACAGCTTCTGATGTCTATGCTGCATTAATAATGTCACAATTAATGATGTCATTGTTAATGTAATAGTTTGTTGATAATGATTAAGTGAATTAGCTGGTAAATCTACTTAAATTGTTTTCTTCCATATTACTCTATCTGTATATACAAACTACTATTAACTATTAACACTCATATCAAATTATAATAGTGCTCAATATCATTTAATAAAATATTCATTTGCTCAAAATGAACTCTTTTTCATTTATGAATCAACTTAGCCAGTGTAATTTTATAACAAGTATCAAAAGTTAAAATTCCTGAGTCTCTTTATTGGTTTTAATCAAAGGGAGACAATCCACCTACATCACACCTTTGCCATTATCTCACTTTGACCATGTCTTATGTCATTGTGATTTTGTTTCTTAAAGACAAAGCTATTTTGAATTAGATTCAGTAAATATAGATATTATAAAAAATAATATATTTGTTTCATACATATGTAATGTTTCAGTTGTGCTTGTTTATTACAAAAAATTTAACATATCCCTGTAAATTAATACACAGGTAATCTTGAACTGACCTAAACATGGTGTTTAATACAGATTATATTTATAAAAAACCTTCTACTTACCTAGTTAGCAAAGAAAGTACTTGCTATATGATCCCTGATAGCCTTGCCGTCATTCCGTCCTCTGTAGTGGTCAATGGGTGGCTGGTCCTGTCTCACATGGGCATCATCGACATCAAGAACCTCACTCCGAAAGATAGCTATGTTGTGCAATATTGCGCAGGTCAATATAATTTTGCACACCTTTCCTGGGTTCATACGGATCTAAAACAAAGTTAAAAGCATATCACATTATTTGCTATTTAAAAATCAAATAAGCAATCAGACATTATTTATGTATTGAAAACTTTATCATAGAAATATGATATTTTACATATCTTACTGAAAATATTACATTTCCTTTAAACTGCTATCTGCCCTTACTTTAAATCAATTGTGAGGAAATGCAATTTCTCTTCAACCAATAACTCTGTTATTTTATTCTTATTTTTAACCTTGTGAAGCACCACTAAGCAGCCACCGATTGGAAATTAGGTGCTATACAAGTGCATTATTATTATATCTTAATACCTCAGAATGCAGAACATGAAACCTTCGTTTTAATCGGCCAAAGGTCCTCTCTATGGTGACTCTGGTCCTACACAGTCTGTCGTTATACCGCTGTTGAGGGTTCCCTTGTGGGTGAAGGTAGGGAGTGAGTAAGTAGGGTCTGCAAACACAACATCAGTATCAAGGAGGCATTCATTGAAATGCTGACTAATTTGAAATAAAAAAATATTTCACTTCACTAGAAAAATACCATATCATAATTTACATGTATGGAAAGCTACATTTGACTCGTTGAGCAATAATTATTAGCCAAAAACTTGAATTTAGGCTTTCAAGCAAATTAGATTTAAACTGTAAGTTTTTTCATGTAAGATATGAAAATTTACCGGCATGCATATCCACTATCTCCAAGGACAAACCCATCTGAAATTCTGGTGTGGTTGGCTTCTAAGTGTTGTCTCAGATTTGATGTCCTAAATATATGGTTGTCATGGGTGGAGCCTGGCCAGCTGGCACACAAGTTGGTTATATTTCCTGTTAAAAAAACCCCATATATATATATAATTTTTTTTCTTAAATTCAATTTATAGACTTGAAGTAATAATCATGCAAAATGTAAATTCATTCCTACTGAATTTCTGGAAAAACCAATCTCAATTCTTATAAAAATATTTGTCATGCTATAAATGAGTATAAGCATTACCTCTACTTTTATCATACAGACTATACCAAGGGAGCTCACTCTCACATTCTGTTTTCATTTTAAACAGATGACAGTTTTCAATCATGTACACTGAAGTGATATATCGGCTTTACTTGACACACTTTGAAACAAGTAAACATAAACCCAATAAGGAGGTCCATTTGACATGTAAAAATATTCGAAAAATAAGTTTCCAAACTTGGATGATTTATGATTTATTTCATAGTATATTATATGTATGTTTAAAAACCGAAATGATTTAAAGTTAAGTATTCCGATTCTTATTCTGTGGACAATAACACCTGGTACATACTGAATGGTAAAATAGGGCTAAAATGTACGTTACCGGTCAGTTATAGACTTCCTATTGTACACAAAAAGACACAAAAGGACCACAGAGAATTTTTAAAACATTTTATTAAACAATATGAAACACATTAAATCATCAAACGTGTGGTTACACTTGTCCAGCATAAACATAGAGCAGTTTAGTGGTTCCCTTCTGAACTGACAGAATTCCACTCTGGAACTTACACAATTGTAAATATAATGAAACATCAAAGATACTGCCATTAGCGTGTAAATTGCTTTGTAATCAAAGGTACATATGTATTAGAGAACAATATCAAAAATAGGTATCTTAGGTTACATGCATATGCTACATGTCTCTCTTAGTAGGAGGGTAACGTACATTTCAATGATTTCAACATAATGCGGTATTGCATGTTAGTAACTACTGAAGAACAGGGATCCGTTTCATGTGAAATATAAACTGGATAATTACTATAATTTATGTTTTTACTTTTCATTCTTTGGGTAAAACGTCTAAACAAATCTGCAGCAATATATTTACTTTCCCAGTTGCCTGAAAGAATACATAATTGTGGACGACAACACCATTAATTAGCAACAAATAGTAAATGAAACTGTGAATCTTGAACGAAGATCTAGTCAAACCTGACCCGCTAACAATCTCAATAAATGCTGAATAAACTTGATGTTCTCATTGTCTTCACAAGGTACATCTCTCCAGGTAACGAACATTTCAAAACAGCACAATGTTTTTCACTTACCTATGATATTATGAATAATCATTAATCTCCTGCAAAACATAACAGGCGAACGTTCTAACCTGGTACTAGAAACACGAGAACAATAACAGAACTACATATAGGCAGAACAGTTTTAGTTATTTCCTGGTAACGCACATTTCAGTCTACAGGTACTCATTATAGTTATGTTCAATGGTTCCTAAATCATCTTGGCTAAGTTTCAGCATGCGCCCAGATTTTCCACTTGCTTGAGGAGGTTGTACTGAACATAGGATCTCTTCCTTCTTACACCAAACAATATCATTGCGTCGGGGCCACTGAAAGAGTTGTTTCTTTTTTTCCATGAATGTTATGTTGACTGTGTGATCAGTATTGTCAACTTCAAGAACTCTTCCGATATACCACCTGCCATCATAGATAGCAGCTACATAAGAACCAGGAGAGTATTCATGATCAGCTGCATCTCTGGGTTCCTCTTGACCTGCTGTTTGTGCTTCCTCTGAAGGACTAGTTTGTGAATCTTGGACTTCTGTTGCTGAAGAATGTGTGACTTGTGATTCCTTTGGCTGTAGATCTTGGACAGTTGGTGCGGTTTCCAAAGATTGGATTTCTTCTGATTGGTCTGTAGATGCCAGAGACTCCTTTCTCCAAGTGTCACACAGTCCACCTGTGATGCACACATCACAGTAACAACTTACATCTCTTACACTGATGCTTGAGATCCCATGGCCAACCACAGCGTGAATTTTCATTGTCCCCTTCACACTCTTCAGTTTCAGTTGCTTCACTCTGTTCAAGATATCCTGGCACTCCTCGGAAGACACAAAAAAGAACTTCACAGACTTCATATTTGATGATCTTGCCCATGTGAAGAAACCTTTGGGATCCTGGATGACACACTTTCCACTACGGACAGCCTCATCAGCCATACGTTTAGTTGTACCTCCTAATCCATCACATGGCCCCTTGCCATGACCTGCTTCAAAATAGTTCCATCGAGCTTTCATCCCAAAACTGTTTGATGGTTAGCCACAGTATTGAAAACAACTTTGTTCCTGTACTGACTTGTAGGACTGTCTGTCCAATAATGGATTATCTCCACATTCTCATCCAAGGCCTTAATATCAGGCATTAACTTGTGAAGTATTGCAATAACTGTAGAAGATGCATGAGATACTTCATCAGACACAGCAACAAAACTCTGATGGGTCAGCTGACCAGCATCATTCCTGTAGTAGACTACAATCGGATGAAGGGTCACTCCAACTTGGTTCCAATATGCGCTTTGGATTTCATCAACAGTTTTGCAAGAATAATTTTCTGCAAAATCCATATGACAAATCATCTGGTGTTGAGGAAGGGTCTCCTTTAACCTTCTGATTTCTGCATACTGTGTTTGTACACGACCGACATGGCATGAGAAATCTTCCACTTGTTTTTCAGATCATCAATGAAGATATCCCTTGTCACTTGAGAATCCACAATTCTGGTGACAGATTTTGTTTTACCTTTCTCTTCTACCGTCACTCGTTTCCACTGACTTCTGATTACATGTTCTGGCATCTTTTCTACTATGATATTCAGGTCAACATGATCTTTCAAGAATGTCTCTGGATTTGGGATACCAGAATTCCCTCCTTGCGAAGGGTTTTAAGCTGTAAAGCCATGTTCTGATGCTTTGTACATAGGCAGCTGTGTCTGGTTATGAATGATGTCAGTAGTATGTACTTTGGCCTCATACGTCTGAAGGTTTCAAGAGATAGTTTGATATCGGGGTTCTCAGCCATGTATTTTGCATGAAGATTAGAAATATAATCTGTCAGAACTCTGGTTTGTATCTTCTGGCCATCTAATTTCTTAGAATCAGCCTTTCCAGGTTGTACTCTACTGTTGTCATCACGTTCAAGGAAAGCCAGGACACTAGATTGGTATATCTGTAGAGTCCTTGTCCTTTTTCCTTTTGTCAGCACAATGCATTTATTCCTTACGTTTGATAACTTGTGGCGACATAAACCAGTCTGGGAACTCAGCTGGTTCAAACATCGATACTTCTTGATGATTTTCCCTGAGACAATGCGATGCAGAAGAGGACGCTTTGAGGTTTTCATTTCGTCCTTAGAATGAGTAATTTCTGAAATAAGAGCATTACTAAGAAGCAAGTTTTCCTGATTTTTCTCTGTTCAATTGTGTTGAACTTGGCTTGCTTCATCATTGCCTCAGTTTTGCTTTTCGGCGTACTTGTTGAACCAACTGCCATTTTTACATCATGTCTTTTTACTTTTCTTTTCAGTGAGTAATATTTCTTCGATAATTCATGCTGTCTGTCTTTGAGGTCTGCAATGGTTCTGTAGGCCTTTGCTAAAGCTTTGTTTGTTCTACGTCTAGGTCCCAATCTTCTGGCATTTGGTAAGGGCAACCGAACCACCAACTGTTGATGTGAAGCTGCACCCTGACTCTCGTAGCCACTCGTTTCTTGTTCAGGTTCATTTTCATTTGCTGCAGCCGCAAGCAATGCTTTCTTTTGAGACCTGTGTCTCTTCAAATTATCAAGATTCTTTAGGTTTCTTTTCAACAACTCGTTGCGATTTAGTTGAGACGACGGAACATAATTTTGACGCCGTCTCTGTCGTTCTTTCTCAAGATATGCCTCGCCATCCTTCAATTTCTTTCGTTCCCTATATGCTTTTTGTATTTCAGCACGTGTTTTCCCCATTATTGTCTGAAACATAACGACGAAATGTACGTTACTAGTCACTGAAATGTACGTTACCATTTCTAAATTGATAATTGAATGTTTGTTTGATTGGATATAATGTTTTGATCAACTTTGTGTGATATATACATCTTCATGTTGTAATTCTACATCAAATATCGCTATTCATTTCATCTATTTTGAGGAGATATTTTCGGTAGAACTAAGGTGATCAAACATAGAGATGTTTCGGAAAACTTGAATATCAGTAAGCATAATACGTTGTCTAACTGTGTAGTTTTCCGGGGCTAAAATCATACTTTCTTAGCTCTAGAATCTTAGATGAACAATAAAATGTATTTTACAAGAATCTAGATATATAATCCTGATTGAGTGTGGTCAAAAATTAATATATCTCGTTTCCTGAAATGTACGTTACCATTGGTAACGTACATTTCACATTACAATAACCATGAAAAAAGTTTCCTTTGTGAACATATGAAGTTAAAATCAGCATAGACATGAAACTAAGGCATTTTCACATGAATAAATCGCAAAAAACCTTGTGGATGAGCTTTATGAACTTTACTAAGCATAGTCATTCAAACTTACCTCAGGTTCATTGACGATTTTAGGTCTTTCAGCGTTGAAATTCAAATGGTTTGTCTTGCAATCAGTGTAACCAAGGTCAAGCAGACGACAGGAAGCACATGGTCAGCTTTGTGTAAAGCTGTATGCATGGTAGATATTAGTTTCGTATTCTTTGGTAACGTACATTTCGGTAACGTATCTTTCACACTATGCATTTATATGAAGCAGTATGCTTATTTCAAGTAGGAACAATGAGCAACTCACTTCATTTTATTGTCTTATATCCATAAACATCCCTTTGTATAGCAAACCATTCTCTTGTCAGACCTCTAAAAACAAAAGGGAGTAACGTACATTTCATCCTTAAAATTACGGTTGATTAGTGCATTTAGACACCTTCTTAACAGCACTGAAAGGTTTTGTTATTTCTTTAATGAGTATTTAATT